GAGTGCGTGGGCATGGTAGATCTCCTCTCCTTCTTGAAAAGCAACTGTTTTCCTGGTTTTTTTTTTTTGTCTGGGAAATTACACGAGGGCTCTAAAGACAGACCCTTCTTTAAAGATTTTTGGTGATATGGGAAGAGACCTTGTGTGTTCCTCTGCTTATCGGTGGACAATGGCCATGATGGTAAAATAACTGCTGGCTGGAGACTGTTTTCCTCTACCATGACCCAGGCGAATACAAACTTACACTTGACTCAAAGCGACTTGTCTTGAAAAGTACCAAGCACTGGCTGTGTCACGGAATTGGTTCCAGGGGCTTCATTCGGTGGTGGTGCGGAGTATCTTGACTTCAAGAGATGTCCTTTTGTGCATGTGGATGGTGTCATGCTTCCCTTTGTCTGTGCATACAAACATTAACAGCCATTTCTTGGCTGAAATGTATATAACTACATTTGTCACTCATCTGACAATATAATTTTTTTTCCTCAACAGACCAGTGAGGATATTCAACGGAAACCCACGTGGAAGACAAATCTGAAAGTTCTTTCAGTGAAGATAGACTGGAAAGGTAGGGCCTTTCCATAGCCGCTTGCTTTGGGTTTGACACTGGTGTCTTAGAGCCGCGGCTGTGCTCAGCATCCCCACTTCTGGTGATGCCGTCCAGCCTAGCGAAGCAAGAGCCGTTCAGTTTTAACACGTTTGTAAGCACTAAGGGTGTCCCTCTGTGCTTTACGAACATGCTTTAGGGGATTTCTGTAGAGCTGCATGATAAAATAATTTTGAATATTTTATCCAAGGCCTGTGTTGCAGTTTATTCTGAAAAAAAATAACTGAGACCCAGAATGTGGGCCTAAAATCTTCTGCCTGGCTTACTGTGGCAAGAGGATAAGGCCACCGCTGCGGTGGCATCGCTTCCAGTTGTCCCACTAAAATGAGAGATGCTTTACAAAATAACCAGCGAGAACGTGGGACAGGGAAGGGTGTGCTCAGTTTCCCACTTGGCCAATTTTTTCCCGCACGCAGAACTTGCCCTGGATTTAGATCAGCATGGACCTGGCTGGGCAGCTGTGCCTAACCAGCATCTGCAAGAAAGTTGTCTGTACGAAGTGAAGGATTTCAGACCACCTGTTTCTTGGATGAAAATGTAATGTCTGACATCATGCTGATGTCATTTGGATAAGTAAAAACATACATATGGATATACATAGTATATATGTTAAGCGGGACATAAATAAAACATGGTCCAGTGTGAAAAAAGTGCCCTTTAGGTTTTAATAGTGAGCCGTACAATGTGCGTGATGGTTCTGCTTGTACTTCAGCCCACATCTGCTCTAACAGTGCTTATAAACTTGTAAGTCGAAGGCAGTTTCTAGGACATGGGGAGGGTCACTGTGCACGTATCTGGGGATACAGAGGTGAAAAAAGGAGAGAAAGATGCTAGTGCCACTGCACTGTGAGCTCAGGCCTGGGTTTTCTTCAAGGATCGGGTTATGTGTGAGCAGTTCTTGTTTGCGATCGGTGTGTAGCACATGATGTATTGTCTGGCTAATGTGAAATAATCCTACTTAAGCCATGGGTTTCCTCATCAGAGCACCTTCAAAGGGTGGACCTCACACCTACCCTGATAAGGTAGGTGATGGCGGTGCTGGCTGGGTGCCCTGTGCTTCCCCACAACCACCAAATCCATGGTCACGCAGGCTTGGTACCCCGGTCCCAAACACCAGGGAAGCCCCAGCAGGGATCACTCCCGGCCCCACGATGTGGCTCCCAATGGGTGAGGATGGGTGCGAGTTTATTCCCTGCCTTCGTATTTGACATGGGGGAGTCCCCGGCAAGACTGCCTGCTCGGTAGGCGCTGTAGTTGCACAAGATAAATAACATTTTGATGCTGAAGCATCTTTTTAATTGGCTGTAATAGTTTAAATTTGAGGGGAAATGAGCAGAAATATAGAATGAGGAGTGGATGTGGTGCGACTGTGGTCCTGTAGCCGGCAGAGATGCAGGTGGAGCTGGACCAGCTAGCGGGGCTTGCTCGGCTTGCGGGGAGGGCAGGAGCCTTTCCTGGCTCTGCAAACAAAAATGTACTTGTGCGATATGCTTGAAACCAATCTCTAAAAAAAAATAAAATCTTGGAAAAGTCCATTTGGCACTTTAGATTTGGGGTTATCTTCTCACCTGTCCTTCCCTTCTGGTTCTGACGTCAGGAACGTTCTCCATGGGGTTTCTGGAGCCCTTCAGGTCTAGGACTTGCTTAAAGCCCGGCTCAGGGATTTTCAGCAGAGCAGGCATGGCACTGCAAAGAGTGGACATGAAGTGTAAAAATACAGGATTGTCATATGTGGCCTTGCCATGCAAGAGAAGTTACTCGTATCTATACAGTGTTTAACTCTATAAAATGCCCTGCGAGAGGAGCTCAGCTGTCCGCTCCCTGTGGGAAGACCTGGAGCTGCTTGCGGGATGCTGACCCTGCTGTGTTACATCTCCAGCTTCCCCAGACCCCGGGGGTCTCTGCAGCCCCCCCTGCAAGCATCCCCTCTCCCACCCGGGAGCACTGCCCTCCCTAGCGCTTTGAGATGCAATGTTTTTCACGGGAATGCTCCATTTCCCTCCTGGCAGAGACGGGGAAGGATGAAGCAGGCAAGAGCCCAAGAGCCAACACTCGTTAGTCTTGTCTGCCAGCAAGTGGGGAGCGTGCATTGCTCCGGCGTTATAAAAGGCCCTTGTTAAGTAATCACATTGCTCTTGCATAAGTGCTTGGGTTTGGGAGGCTTGAGCCCATCGGAGGCTGCAGCTCGCAGATAGAAACCATGCCGAACTACTGTGATTTTTTTTTAAAAAAAAATAATGCATGTTTATTAATCTGCTGAAAGTTGTTTAAAATCCCTTTAGATAAGGTTGAGCAGCGGAGAGTCCCCAGCACGGGTGGTGGCTGAGCTACAGCTGTAAGGCGCTGCCAAAAAGCCTGCCTGGATCCTTGTGAGTAATATTTCTGGTTCTTCTAAAGGGTGTTTGTGACCGATAACTGCAGGCGGGGAAATATCGCAGACATTTATTGCTGGTAATAAATTAGAGGGAGGCAGGAGGTGAGAGACAGTAGGGAAACTATTGACTGGTTTTAAAGTAAGGCTTTCCTCCTAGACTTCCGTAAGTATGGATTTCTCTGAAGCTGAGTAATCAAGTCTCTTCCAAATATGCTAATAAAAAAGAAATGTGGTGCTGAATTCTATTACGGGACTGTCAGGAGAACATTGATTTGGCCTGACAGTGAGATCAAAGGACTGTCTAGTCCCGTGTACTAATTTGGAGAGGCCAAAAGTCAACGTTCAAGGAAAGAATATAAGACTAGGACGAGTGTACAGTGATATTTCCTCTCCGATATTTTCCTGGCTTTCAGAAATCTGCAGATCAGTTATTTCCCGAGTCAGAAATAGTATCTTCAATAGTACAAGTAGAACTTTCTTTTCAGAATTTGCTAATCCAGTGTATCTGTTGAAGACAAGTTGTTTGGGGTTTCACTGACATAAATCTGACTGGGGTTTGATCTCTGGAGTTAAATTAATTCTTGCATGTAGGATTTTAATTAAACCAAGGTGGTTTCCTGTTTCGATGGAACTGAGAAGGGAAAAGCTTGTATGGATTTACAGAAAACAGAATTTCCCCTCCCACTTCCTTGTGACGTGTCTGGATGCAGCCCAGTCCGTGAACAAAGCCCGGAACCATAAAACCACCCACTGAAGTGGGAACTGGGATTTATTAGCTCAACGCTGAGCGGCTTGGAACAACTCGGTGGTTATTCCTGCCAGCCCTGGAAGGCATTGAAGTGCCATTGCATAGAGAAGGCGGCTCGGATGCTGAGCTGAGGGGAAATAAAGCCGCTGCCTACAGCGTGGGTGCGTGGATGCTTGCTCTTAGCGGTGGCACAGAGCTTTTCCTCGGTAGAACAAATGCTGGACTGGTGGAGGTGACTTGGGAGAGCTCAAGTCGCTATTTGCAAACCTTGAGGAAAAAAACCATAGTATGTAGATTTTTAGTCTATCTTGAGACCTGGTAAAGCATTTAAATCTTACTTGCAGCCAGTAGATGAGGAGGCAATACCACCGTAAAAATTATTTTGTAGTAGTTATAGGATTAGAGAGGTAAATGTGAAAACCTATTTTGAACGAGAAGGCACTTGGCTGCAAAGCCAAGACTTTCATGTCTTCCTATTTCCTTCCTAAAGTGGGAAAAATTGATAGGCCTGTTTGCTTCGGTAAAACTGCAGTAGTGATGTGAGAAGCTGCGATCACTTTTACCCTTGCTTGTTAATTATTTAGACCTTAAAACCTTTGCGAGACATCTATAGGCGAACCCGAGCCACGTTCGCCACGCTGGTGGTTAGGGGTGGGCCGCGCTGGTGGTGAGGGGTGGGGGGTGGTGGCGGAGCCGGCCGCTGGCTGGGCACCCCACGGCTCCCCACCTCCCTTCGGCAACCCAGCACGGCCTCTTTGCTGCTGGGGGTCAGGGCTGTCCAGACCCCAGACCACCTGCCCAGGTCTTGTTGGTTTGCTCGTCATCCAAAACCTGGAGGGGGGTCTTTAGCCATGGCAGTGCTGGGGGCTGGTAGAGGTTGCGAACAGAATCTTGGACATTGAGACAGGTTTTTTCCCCAGATCGTTGGCTTACTTCATGGGTCTAGAGAGTTTACAGTGTTAAAAACCCGTGAGAGACTATTAAAAACACTACTACTAGAAATCCTTGAGGTGTTGAGGGGTGTTCTGGGGAAGTATCAGCTGCTTGCCCTGGTTTTGGGCTGTTTCAGGGCTGCTGACACCGCCTGCTCTCAAGAGGATGCTGGCTCAAAGAAAGATGCTCCTAGCCCATGCAAAGCCTTTTTAGTTCTTATGAAAACACCACAAATAAAAGTCAGCAATTAAAACCAGGGAATTTAAAATGTTATTTTTAAAATGGTCTCTGGGATATGGCATACGTTAGGATAGCCAAACCGTATCTCTAATTTGTTGCAGGGTAAAATGGATGCTAGACACAAGCTGAAGATTTTGGTGATGTTTCTGTCTCTGGCTGCTTTCACGGTCATGGTGATACTGAATGCTGGAAATGCCACTGGGACATTCAAAGGTAACGCAGGCAAATTGTCTTTGTTCGGAGGTGGATTTCACGTGTTATCAGCAAGTGATGTAAGGTGCCTTAGATGGGATGGATCTGTTTGTTACCTCGTTGCGTCTCCAGATACACCCTGGTCTGTGAAAGGAATAGCTGGTGCATCCCCCAGGTGTCCCGGCCGGGTGTCTGAGCCCCGTCCCATCCCTTGAAACCCAAGTGAACGCTCTTGTCGCTGGGGCACCTGGATCTAGGGGTGGGTGAGAGGCAGTTTGTGCGAGGGCTGCCCTTGTATCCCTGGTGGAAGCTGTTCAGGCTGCTGGGGCTGTGGGTTTATAGAGGGCGGGGGTGCTTGGTTTGAACACTACCCACCTGAATCTGTCGGGTACGGACGTTGTGCTTCTCTCTGGCTTTTCTGGCCCTGTGTAAGAGGGAAGGTGCTGAGGGTTCCCCACAGGGATGGTGATCCCCAAATGGGTGTCTAAAGGCAACCTGACTGCAGCACATGGCTTGTTTTCATTGAGGGCATCCCCTCATCTCCCTCGGATCCACTGGGATGTGGACTAAGCCTTGAGGAAGATTGCAGGGTGAGGGGAAATGGTCAGTCTCTCCCCATCCTTAGTATGTAGTAACGCTTTTGCCCGCAATAACGTTCACCATCACAGGTCTGTTCAGGACAACCCCTGGAAACATCTCGGCGAAATACACCACTGACTTCACACCGGCGGGCTGGACTTTCCTCATCTGGAATGTCATCTATGCCTGGCAGCTTGCCTGGCTTCTCTACGCCTTGTCAGGGATCTGTCGAAGGTATTTTCCCTGCTTTTGGTATACGTGCGCGACAGTGGCTCTGCGGTTTCTAGAGTGAACTCGCCGCCATTCCTCCTGACTTGATGTGCTGAAGCATCTTTTAGGTTCAGCATCCAAAGCTGGGAAGCAGTTTGGAGGTGTCTGAACTGCTTTAATGTGTGGACAGGTTACAAAGCGTGTAAACTGTTCCGTGAAGCCTGGCTTGCACCGATTCACGTGAGCTGACAGAGTTACTCAGTAGCTGCACTTACCCACTGCGAGATGCTGAGAATTTGCAGGGGCAAAATTAATGAATTATGGAGCTAACGCTTTGAGTTTACTTGCTGTTAGAGATCAGTACAGCAGCACCGGGAAGTCCCTTGTGGTGTTGAAATGGCCTTGAACCTTTTCCCGGGGCTGTGAGATCGGTGTCTCATGCAGTACCGTGCGATATCTGTGATATTCTGACGTCTTCTGTGGCCCAGGCTTGCACTGCAGCTCTTCTGCTTAGTCTGAGCCTTGTGTATCTGCTGGTTTTGTGTGAATTGTACCGAGTTGCTCAGTTGATGCTGGCCAGCACTGAAGGCTGGGGGAAGTGTGATGTGTGTGTATGAGTGATCAAGTCTGTGCACGTGTATGTGTGCACACACAACATGTATATCACGTATGTGCTCACGCTATGATCCCATCAGCCTTTTTCCCTGGGAACTGGGCTGAAATACCATGGCTGTGCCCTTGCTACCAGCACCGGTGGCACAAGCTTTGTGGCATCCATGGAGCAGTCCTTGGTACCCCCTCAATCTGCGATGGTGCACAGACCAGAGAAATAGTCTGATTTAAGCTGAAAACTTTAACTCCGATGTAGAGTCCTTGTTACTACAAAGAAAATGAGGCCAGGAAAGTTTGGTTGGTCAATGCAGGCATTGTTTTCCTTTCTCAATACCCATTTTTTCCTGGCAGGAATGAACTTGGATGTGTCTACATAAAGCCAGACTTGCTGCCAATACCTTTTTATGTGGTGTGGATTCTGAGTAATGGCCTCAACGTTGGATGGCTGTTCCTGTGGGACCGAGAGTAAGTCGCCTTTTACTGCGAATGCTTTCTAACCCTTTTGGTGGGACTGCCCCAGTACTTCGTTTTGCCCTTCCTCTGTGTTCACATGCTTCATCACGCCTGTAAAACTCTACCGTAGGCCTTGGCAAAAGGTAGCCTTCGTAGAAGTCTGGGGGTTTTGCACAATGTTTTAATCTTGCCCATGAGGTGGGCTGGTTATTGAAGTCTAAGCTCTCCTCCAAGCTGCTGTTCTTCCAGGTCTTTTCCTCCACAGGTAAGACAGGAGCCGTGCCTCCCCTCATAAATACAGTTAAGCTCCTTGCCTTGGATTGTTTGCTTAATCACGGTCACATGAAGGGCTTATAATAGCACCACTGTCGAGAGGTGAAGAAATCGGTTGCAGCCAGGAAAATAACTTCATGATTAAGAGTGAAACAGCAGTATGTCAAAACTACGTGTAGTTATTACCTTTATTAAAGGCTGATTAACTTGGTCAAGGCCAAACACTAAAGCCATGAATTAAGGCATTGTGACACCACTAAAAAAAAGGCATTGTATATTGTGTGTCGTGTTGTTTGTCCTAGATACCTCCTCCCAGCCCTGGTGCTCCTGGCAGCCCTCGCTTTTGCCACGTGTGCCTCCCTCTTCGTTTCACACCGAGCCTTGAGCATCCATTCCTCGTGGTTCGCGAAGGCTCACAAAGCTGAGCTCTGGCTCATCCGCATCCTAGTAGGTGGCATTTGGGAAGCTGTGCTGTTGGTAAATGCTAAAAAAAAAAAAACCTCTGTGCAGTGCTGAGGGTGTCAAGAATGAAAGGTTCAATGGCAGGAGAGATGGGTAAGGGAAGATTTCTGCCCTGACTTTAACGTGTGTCTCCTGGAGGTGCACGCAGGCTTAATTGCATCTGTTTCCTATCAGACATCAGGGGAATGATTTGGAGCAAGGTGTATCCCTTGTACTTCTCCAGCTGCTACGGAATGAAGTTTTCAGTGAAGTACGAAAACTTCAGCCCAGACTTGTGTTTGGGGTGGGAAGAATATTTCTTGCAGAGGCAGAAGCCGTTGCTAAGGGTGCCTTCTGTTGCCGTAGCTGATGGGGACATCCCTGACTACAAAAACTGTTTCTTATATGGGAAAATGTACACCGCTCAAGGTTTTACATGCAGCTGCCTTTCTGAGTTTTGCCAAAGTCTGGAAGAAAATGATTTTTCTGCTGCCCCTGGGAAGAGTGGGTGTTTGGCAAACTGCACAGAGGAAATAAGACAAACACCCTCAAACTCCATCACTCCTGGCTTCCCTCCCTGTGCCTCTCTCCTAGCTCAAACCTGCTACCCCGATCCCTCCCTCCCTATCCGGACTGCGGTTCCTCCCATGGCTGCTGGGTTTGCTTTAACCACCTGCGGTTCCCTTGCTGATGTTGGTATCGCTCAGCGAGACAGTGGGTCAGCTGAAAAAGCCCATCCAAGGAGCTCGGAGGGTTTTCAGCAGAGGGCGAGTCGGCTCTGCACCAAATGGCCCCTACCAACCCTGCTGCAGAGGTGTCTGCCTGCATCTCGGCACAAACTGGGAGGGGGCTCTGCTCTTTACGCCCTTTTTTTAAATCACTGCTTGTCATCTTGTGCTACGTGGCAGGTACAGAACGGGCTGGCGCTGTATGTGACATGGACCACCATCGCCACTCTGCTGAACTTCGCCGTTGTGTTGATCTACAAGTGGAACGTGTCCAACGAGACGGCAACGACTGCTTCTCTGAGCATCCTTGCTCTCGACCTAGTAATATGGTAAGCAACCTCATGGGATCCCACCAGGCCTGAAAGACCCCTTCCACCCCTCGCCCATGGGTTGGACTCTGTCCCGGTTCATTCGTGGTCGGTCCCTGTACCAACACTGAGTACAGAGACCTCTGTTATAATTCATGACAGTTGAACAGGGAGCCTGGGCAGAGCTTTTCTTCCCTGACCCTCGGCAACGCCAATAAGCACGTGCTGTGGGCCAGGACAAGGTGCTGTGACTTGTGTGAGCCCAGCCTGCCCTGGAGTTTGCAAATGGGGGTTGATATGGAAAACATATGAAACATGGCTTTATTTTTTTTCCTTAAACTTCCCTTAGATAACTTTAATCTTCTGAATTTTTGTAGATGAATGATTTTGGACTCTGATCCAAAGCAGCATGCAAGAAAACCATTCCTTGTCCAATTTCTTTCTTAAACTTTGTACAGAAAAAATACTTTGGTTACTCTTTCTTCACAGGTTTTATCTAGAAAACTTCTTTCTTGACAAGTATGTCCGCTATAACCTTACAATCTACCCAGTGGTCATCGTAGCTCTGACCGGCAGTGCGTGCAAGAACTTCTCGTTTTCAACCCCAACGGTGAACGGCATTTTTATAGGTGAACCTTTTGGACTGTTTCCATCTGTTGTAAAAGAAGGCTGGTAAACACTTCCACATCTTTCCTGTGTATGAGGGGCAGAAAGACAGGCTTGCCTCTTGAAAAGTAGTATTTATAAAAAGCAGAACTAGGGAGTTATTGGAAGGCTTTCATTTTGCAAAGTAAAGAGTAGAGCAGAAATCACTGCCCGTGAGCCTTGGCGCTGGATTCAAACCTTGTGTTGCCTCAAGTTCGCTTCCCAGTACAATGTTTGCTCTGCAATCCTCCATCATCCACCTGGGTCCTCTGCTGGCATCTCCATCTGATGCAGCAGGGACCAAAGGAAGAGCAGGGCTGGGATGAAGGCTGTGGACTCCCATTTGCCCTGTAGCATTTGAGATATAGAAGCAGCCTACAAGTTTCTGACCCAAGGAGCTGTTGTATCTAAACTTCCCAATGCAAACCCCTGCACATGCTCTCCTCCTACGCAGAGCTCAGGCTAGCCTTAACAAGTTTTCCTGGGATTATTTGGTTGCTGCAGGCCACTGTAGCAGAGTTGAGTGTAGTCATCCGTTGTAAAAGGGCTTAAGCCGTCCGAGCAGCGTACAATCACACTCTGGCAATAGCGATGCCCGTATGAGCAGTTTTATGCCGGCATGAAAGGGACTGAGCTGTGTGAACTCTGAACCTTGCCGTAGCAGTTGGAGATGCCTGTTCCCATCGCAGGGTCAGCAGAAGGGAGCACGTTGCCACCCTTCCCGCTGCCACGTACCAGTGGCTAAAGCTAATGTCTGGTCTGGTACCACCATTGCAGCTGCTCCGGTACGTGTTCCCTTTTGCTGTGAGGGCAGCTGGAGACTGGTAACACTAAAAACACCCGGCCAAGCTTGTCTGCCAAAGGCATGAGGGCACTGGGGGCTCGTCTACTGATGGCTACGGCCACCAGGACTGTGAAGGGATGTGTGATCTCTGGCAGGCAGCTGTGTGCCTTCGGTAGGTGCATTTCTACCAGCAAAACTTCGTTCTTAGTGGTTTGGCTTGTTTGGCTGGTAGGGCAAGAACGTGCTTTTCCCAAACTAGTGCATGTTTCTTTATATAAATCAACTATTCTTGGAGTGTTTTGTTAATGTCTTGCGTTTCTATTCCTGTGTCCATAAAGCCCCCCTCCCTTTAGACATGCCTTGACCTGGAAGGGTTGGGTGAGTTTGGATAGCAGTGACACTGAGAAATACAACTCTGATGGGGGGGAGGTAATGGCTCCTGTACCGGGGGGGGCGTTTTTAACTCTTT